CTAAACAAAAGAAGGCTATCAACTTCAGAGGGAACAAAGGAGAGATTTAATGGAAGGTGTCTAAGAGGGACTAGAGTGAGGAAAGAGGAGGAGGGAAGCTATGTAATTCTATTTCAATTAACATATTTTAAAAACATTTTTCTTTATTTCCATTAAAAGATAGATGCTGGTTTATAAGTACTGTGGATTCTAAACTAAAAAGTGCCCATATATGTGGGGGGTTTTGCCTCCCCTGGTAAAAGCCACTGGCATCATGCTCTTGTGTGACACTGCCAACCTGAAAGGAAATGAAGAGAAAAGATATCATCTGCAGCATTCAGTAGTTAACATCTCTCTATGATCCTAGCTCATCATTTGCAGCCTAGTAAACTTGAACCTTCCACACAAGAGGCAGCATAAACACTGGCAACTTCCTCAGAGCAACTTTCAGGCATTGCCTTGAGCTCAGCCCCAGACACAGGTCCCAGGGGAAGCCAAGTACTCTTTCATATGTGTCTCATTCCCTTGTAGAAAAGCCACAACTCAAACGTAGCTGTTCATAATCAATCTAAACGCAATCTCCAAAATAATGACAACTAGCCCAGGCACAGTCAGAAAATCCCCTTCACATCTGAGAGCAAACTGCTCACATGCTTTGAGATGTATATTATATGATTTTGTGAGCCTTCCATGGCTTTTAATTTTTCAAGCCATAGTCAACCAATTGTGATGGCATTGATATGAATGTAAAGCAATTAGAATGCAGTTGATAAGGTGACTCTCCAGACCAGAAATGTATTTCTTTTCTCAACATAGTAAACTTAGGAATAAATATCAGTAACCTTATCCTTCCGCAAATCCTTTCTTTCTTTCTTCCTTTCTTTCTTTCTTTTTCTTTGTGTCTTCCTCTCTTCCTTCCTTTTTTCCTTTCTAGTTTTGGCACCTTGACTTGCAGCCACGATCCTTTCCTCGATCTACCCGGGCTCCATCAACATCCAGTATTCCCTGTCTAAAGATTTGACACATTTGTCACAACAGCTAAGGTTGAGGAAAGGAGTTGAAACAATTTCGCCAGGCTTGTTATGACTCCCTGTGGCCCCTGTGTAGTCCTCTTAACAGCCTTTGTTCCCATCCTTCCAATCACACATGAGTACCAACTGCCTCCCCTTGCACAGTGTGAAACGCAAAGGCTGCAGCCTTTGAGCTCTTGCTCCAGCGCACAGATCATTAGAGCAGATGATATTGTTCTGTACATCAAACCCTTCATGCCAACATCTAAATGGGAGAGGCAGACTGAAGCGATGACAATGAGCTATCAGTGTCCCCTTTTAATGACAATACCCTTTCTAATGAAAATGACCGCTTTAATAAATTTTACAGAGGGCTTCAAGGCCCCAGGACCATGTGGAGAGGGGCCTGGAATATAGGTGAGAAGGGAGAAGGTGGCCAGATGATAAAGAATACAGATGCAGCTTCCTGGACACATGATCCTGCTGCTCAGTCTCCCACTAGGATCCATAGATCTGTGTCTCTTTAGAAGTCAGGAGATGGCTCCCGCTGTTTTCCAAAGTCTAAATATCACGAATTGATAGGTCTGAGCTAAGATGGAGATATCTGTGGCCTAACATGCTTATAAGAGACAAGCATGATGATAACGTGTATTTTCAGAGGGCCTTTTCCTCAGAACTCAAAGAATCTTTGCAGACTTGATCTAATTACTCAACCACAACATTGATGGCACCTGGGAAGAAAGTAGGGGAAAGGGCAGTAAGTGTTAATACCACTGTGTTTACTTTGGCAAATAGACCTGGATTCTTTGTAAGTGGTCTATGTCAAGGTGGCTGGATGAGGTGGGTTTGTTGTTGTTGTTGTTGTTGTTGTTTTATGCTTGTTTGCTTTTTGGGGGGGGAAGTTTGTGTTGTTTTTGTTTGTTTAGGGATTGGGGTACTTTTGCTTTTTTGTTTTGTTTGTTGTTGCTGTCTTGAGACAGGATCTCACTATGTAGCCATGACCAGCCTGGAACTCCCTATGTAGACCAGGCTGGACTTGATCACAGAGTTCTGCCTATTTCTGTCCCTCAGGTGCTTGTCACAGTAAGTGTTTAACACTTTAGCAGTTGCTTTTCTCCTGTGTTTAAGTAAGAGCTAATGTTAAAGACTAATATGAAAACAAGCCTCCATTTAAAAAAGCAAAAGCAATACTGAATTTCTTCTGGTGACTCTTTCTCAAGGTCTTTTATTCTGTGATTGCAAAACCTATAGAAATTGGCACTTTAAAAAGAAACTGGATTTCCTAAGCAAGACATGAGGATGTAAACCACTATCCCCATGTACATTACAAGCTAGCAATACTATTGCTCACACTGTCACAAAGAAGGCCTCAAAGCACCTTCTGGGTACCATTCTAAAATGTGAGTGAAGAAATTGTCTCTCTTTGTACATTCTCTATTAGGGAAAACTTTAGCTACTATGTGGTAAATTTATAATTTATGTGTGCCAACTATAAAATTATAGCCCTGGTTATCCCAGGTATCCAGAAAACAGAAGACTTCAGTGATAAGCTTTTTTATTACATACTCAGAAAACATCTTTACAGACTCTAAAGGGGCACAATGTTATCAGGGAACCCACAAAAACAACAAAATAAAACAAACATTTTCATGCTTTTCAACTTTCACAAAGCAATAGCCTCTGCTGCTCTCCTTCTAGGGCAAGAAGGCAGTCTTGGTAGCAGTAGCTGAATGTGTGTGTGTATTTCAGGAGATAGGAAATGAAAATATGGCCCTACAGGTCTGCTCTGACTGAGCACGCAGCACTTTTTCACTGTGGCAGTGAAATGACATGACAGACTAGAGAAAATCCTAAGCAACCCACAACTCCTTTTGGTGCCAAAGGAAGATTTGTGGCCTAGAATGAAAGTAACATGATAAAAAATGTGTGAAATTCTGTTGAAAAACAATCCAAGTGCCCTCCTGTATTTTTCATTCCTATGTAATAGAATCTTTAGACACATCTTACATACTCTCTCTACCATCTGTGACTGGTAGATATTCATTTTAGGGAAAATACATGGGGATGTTAAAGGTAAAGTGGCTTAGGGACTTGGGTTTTGATATTTATACCAATGCTAAAAGATTCATCATTTTAAACCCTTTGTTGGGCTGGGGTGTAGCTCAGATGGTAGAGTGCTTGCCTACCGTACAGGAAGCCTCAAGTTCTATCTCCAGTACTACCAGGTATAATGATGCTTGTGGGTACCCAGGAGATGGAGGAAGGATAATCCAAGAGGAACTCAGGGTCATTCCCCTAAACTACACAGACGATTCAAGGCCAGCCTTGGCTACATGAAACCCTATTTCAAAAATAAATAAAATAACTAACGGAATTTTTAAAATAAATTCTCTATTGATGATGAAGCTTCACTTTTCTGGGATTTGGCAATAAACTGAGAAGACCTTCTAGGCCACGAGTCATGTTCTGCCTACTTGGCCATGTCTACACATGTCACTCGCAGGCCAAAAGCAGATTCAAAACAAAAGACTCCAAAGGAATTAACAGAAGCCCACAAGAAGAATATGATGCAAAGAAGAGCAAGAGGAGAAAAGGCTGAGAAGGAATCGATGGTGATGAGTTGGATCAGGTGCTTGATATCACTGTTGTGTCAAGGTACAAATTTGTGATCACAGATTACCAACCAAATACCAGAAAAGAGTAGTACAAATCTCTGCATATACATGAAAATCCAAGAAATAGTATAAAATAATGAAAATAAATAAGCAAAAACATCCCTTATAACACAGCAATTTTTTACAACTTGGAAAAAAAGAAATCAGTAGCTCTCCCAACTGATAAAGCTGATATTTTTTTCTGTGCTCATTGAACAAATGTTATTTCTACTCTGGGCACTCAGGTCAAGACATTAGAACCAGTATTAAGAACCACCCACTTGCCATTTTTTTCTCATTGAATTCTGAGGTCCTCATTTTTCTAACAATTGATTGGTGATTTTAGAAACATAGGCATCCCAGCACCATGGAAACATCACTTGACAGCAAGAAATTGCATACACTTACATGTCCAGCTAACAAACTTCACAGGGGAGAAAAAAATGAACAGCTTTGCCCATCACCCTAAGGTGGGGAAGTGGATGCCTTGCTTGTCTTCAGCCCATAAGGAACTGCACTGGTAGCCCTCTCCATCAAAGAAGAGTGAGCAGCTAGCTTGGAGATTAAGCTTGCTGGCCTTAAACAAAGCCACAACAGCAGCTACTTCAAAGCATGAGGACTGCTCTCTAGACTAGCACCTTTGACTCGGTGCCAGCAAAGTATCTGATTTCTCTGTCTTACATAGAATGACAGTGGATTTGAAGTTGAATTATAAAAGTCTCATATTTGCGGCCACAGGGTTATTTACTATTTTTTAAACAAAGGCTATAAGATAGTCTATGTCTTTAGATTGGAAAATTCCTTTCCAACATAGATTTCTTCAATATGTTGACTTTCCTAGGTAGAACAAAGGTGAAAAATATACCCAGTAATAGCAGACATACCTAGCATGCTTAAGCTCCCAGACTGAACCTTGGCAAACCACAAATGCATATACTATACACTCATGTGCACAAAACACAAAAGCACACATGCACAAAATGAACTAAAGATCAATTGAGAAAGATTAGAGACTCAAAGCATAGAATTTTAGATAACAGAAACAAAACAGAGTTAAAGGAATTTACAAACAATAGGGAAACAAGGAAAAACTACAAATGTGTATATTCACATTCTCATAATAAGTTGATAAGTAAGAATAAGTTGGTGATTAACACTGGAAAACTGTACTGAAAGAAATAAAACTTTATAAACACAGACGATTTCACATTAGCTGTGAACTTTGATAAAATTTCAACTAAAAAACAAGGATATTTTAATCAAAGTTAAATATATAGTTCAAAGAAATAACTATTTTTGTAGGAAAACAGAAAGAGATCTACAGAGAGGTCTCAAGACAACAGAAAGAAATGTCAGAATGAAGGGGGTATCTGAGATCTCACCTATGTTAAAAAGAAATAGTAATTGATAATGCTACAGAACACTTGTGAGTTAGATGCCTATGTTTGTGATTAGTTCTATGCCAAATAAAACCCAGCTCCCATCCCATAATGAAGCCTAGTCATTATGAAGCTTTTGATTTTCATTATAAAATCTCAAGTCAAGAACTGTATTCTTGTTTTCTTTTCCAGACATCTTAATTTACTCTTTCCCAGTTGTGCCGTCAATGCCACAAAGTGAAAATGCCTTCACAATGCCTGGGGTTATTTTGTTTTGTTTCCCTGATGGGATAGACACAGAGAAATACTACTCATTTCTCCTTCAAGGTAAGACTTGTCACAACAGCAGAGTGTGGCCAGCAGCAGCCTTCAGGATGTGCCTTGGGTTTCAAGATCCACTTCTGCTGAGACCATGTAGTTCTCAGAGAAGTCCTGTCTCCAGTGGCTGGGGTAGATCCAATGATAAAGACCTAGTCTCTGTAACCTGCATCAAAACAGAAAAAGGAATAAATGCTTCTAATTTAAGTGGTATAAGTGGTACAAGTGAAAATTAGAACACGTTAGCTGGATGACAAACCATGAAAACTTAGAGACATAATCTCAAAATGCAGTTGTTGCTTTTTTTTAATAAGGAATTTACAGAATATACACACTGCTTGGTACCAGTTTTACAGAGTAAAAAGGCAGAAGTAAACAATGTGTTGCTTAAGAATATTTGCATGCAACACTGAACAGCAACAAAAGGAAATGACTGGTATTCATACTCTAATGGCGATTATTCCAAAACACTGAGAAGATGGAGGGACATGCTGTTTTATAAGCAACATAAGAGACTGGAGGGTGGTTGTGGCAGTTTGTTTCTTAGTATGAGTGTGCACTGATGTTAGATTGTGTATCTTACAAATAAGGTTATACACAGAGATAGAAAGAGAGAGAGGGAGATCATTATTCCTGGTAGCTATATCTTATAAGGTGACAGAAGATGCTTTTTAGCTCATACAGTTAGTTACCATACTCCTCAGGGATATGGATGAACTTCCATCACACATTTTCTTTTTTTTTAAGTCTTCTCTCATACCTTACATCCCCACAGCAGTTCCTCCTTCCTTCTCTCCTCCAAGTCCTCCCTCTGCCATTCATTCCTTGTAGTTGGATTTTCGTTTGGGCCATGTGCTCACAAATAATAACACAGAGACTTCTTATTAATTTTGAAAGCTAAACCTATAGCTTAGTCTTATTCCTAATAGCTCTTATAACTTAAATTAACCCATTTCTACTAATCTACATTTTACCATGTAGCTTTTTAACATTTCTTTCGTTCTGTATGTCTGACTACCTCTGTGTCTCCTTGGCATCTTCTCTGTGCCTCGATTATCTCCGCCTACTTTTTCTCTCTGCCTGGAAGTCCTGCCTATACCTCCCGCCTAGCTATTGGACATTCAGCTCTTTATTAAACCAATCATAGCCATATATCTTCACACAATGTACAAATTTCCCACAACTCCTACTCCATTTCCCTTCAGAAAAGGGCAGTCCTCCCAAGGACATCAACCAAAAAGGCGTATCAAATTGCCCTATTACTAGGCTCATACTAAGGCTGGACAAGGCAACCAAGTAGGAGGAAAAGTGTCCCAAAAGCAGACAAAAGACATCCCCAGTTCCCACTGTTAGGAATCTCACAAGAACACCAACCTACAAAGCCAGAACATATATGCAGAGGACTTAGATCATATCCTTACAGGCTCCCTGTTTGTAGGTTCAGTCTCTGTGTGCCTCTATGATCCCTGGTTAGTTGATGCTATGGTTTTCCTGTGGTGTCCTTGAGCCCTCTGGCTCCTATAATCAATTCTTTTTCTTCCTCTTTCTCTTCATCTTCCTCTTCCTCTTCTGCAGGGTTCCTCAAGCTCTGCCTAATGTTTGGCTATGGATCTCTGCATCTGTTCCCATCAATCTCTAGATGAAGCCTCTCTAATGATGATTATACAAGGCTCTTGTCTACAAGTATAGCAGAATATCATTAGGAACCATTTCATTGACTATTTTTTCAATCATGTTTAATTCTAGCTTAGATCTCTGAGTTATTCAGCCTCTGGTTCCTAGCAGTTCTAGGCATGAGCTTCCTCTCATGGCACAGGTTTCAAGCTGGATCAGTCACTAATTAGCCACTCCCACAATTTTTGTGACACTTTACCACAACAGATCTTGTAGGTAGGTCAAATTGTAGGTCTAAAGTTTTGTGTCTGAGTGGGTGTCTCAATCCATCTGACTGGAAGCCTTTCTGATTACAGGAGATGGCGTGCTCAGCTTCATAGTCCCTCTTACTAAGAGTCTTAGCTAGGTCACCCATGTGGACTCCTGGGAGTTTTCATTGTAATAGGTTTCTACCTCACTCTAAAAATGCCCCCAAAATTCCAGTACTTTCTCCCTCCATCTTCCCCTATCTGATTCCTTCTGCCCTGACCTGCCCCCAATCCACCCACTATATCTATTCTATTTCCTCTTCCCAGGGAGACCCATGTGTCCCCTCTTGAACCCTCCTTGTTACTTAAGCTTATGAGTGAGTACATACTAAGTTTGTGGTTTTGTGTCTGGGTTACCTCACTCAGGCTGGCTTTTTCTAGTTCCATCCATTTGTCTACAAATTTAATCATGTTATTTTTTAACAGCTGAGTAATGCCCCACTATATAAACATGCCACATTTTCTTCAACCACTATATGGTTGATGGCCATCTAGGTTGTTTCTATTTTCTGACTAGTACAAATAAAGCCACTATGAACATAGTTAAGCATGTGTCCTTGTGGTATGATTGAGCTTCCTTTGGGTATATTCCTGGGAGTGGTATGGCTGGGTCTTGAGGTAGATCAATTCCCAATTTTCTGAGAAACTGCCATACTGATTTCCAAGGTGACTGTACAAGTTTGCACTCCAACCAGAAATGGAGGCTTATTCCTCTTGCTTCAGCATGAGCTGTCACTTGTGTTTTTTTAGTCTTAACCATTCTGACAGGTGTAAGATGGAATTTCAGACTCATTTTGAATTTTATTTCCATGATATCTATGAACATTAAATATTTCTTTAAGTGCTTCTTGACTAACTGAGATTCCTCTGTTAGAATCCTCTGTTTAGATCTGTACCACATTTTTAAATTATATTATTAGGGTTTTTTTTTTGATGTCTAGTTTCTTGAGTTCTTTATATATTTTGGAAATTAACCCTTGGTCAGATGTGAAGTTGAGAGAATCATTTCCCTGTTGTTGTTTTGTTCTATTTATTGTGTCCTTTGCCTTGCAGAAGCTTTTCAGTTACATGAGTTCCTATTTATTACTCATTGACCTTAGTGTCTACACTACTAGTATCCTGTGCTAATGCATCCAAGGCTATTTTATATTTTCTCTTCTATCAGATTCAGTGTATCTGATTTATGTTGAGGTCTTTGAGCCACTTGGACTTGATTTTGTGCAGGGTGTTAGATATGGATCTACTTGAATTTTTCTGCATGCCAGTTTCTAGTTATACCAGCACCATTTGTTGAAGATGCTGTTTTCTTTTCCATTGTATAATTCTAACTTCTTTATCAAAACTCAGATGTCCATAGGTGTGTGAATTTACATCTGGGTCTTCAATTAGATTGCATTGATCAACTTGTCTATTTTATGGCAATATCACGAGATTTTTATTACTATAGCTCTGTAGTAGAGCTTAAAATCATTGATGGCCTATCACATATTTTCATCAACCAATCACACAGTCTTACTTTGCATGTTGATGTAGAAAGACATAATTGAATATATACTTGTGTAAATAATGTAATTAACATTAAATTTGTGAGTAGCAGTGTGACAGTCTATTCCTGAACAAACCCTTTTTGAACCATAATTCTTCATAATTCACACCATAGAACTCTAACGTTTCAGAATATTAGACAGCACACCAGCACATTTATAGCAGTTGTTTTAAATGAGTAAATTATCAAAAAATAAAAAGCAAAAGTATAACCATGTAAAAGGCATGACAGCAAGTAGATCATATAAAGGGAAATTGCTTAATTTATAAATAGGAAGGTGCAGTATTACCTTGTTAAACATCAGCTGGTAGCACACATATCAGGTGAGTACAATTTTTCATTATTTTTCACATCTATAAGTAACTAGGAAAGCACCACAAACATTAATTTTAAGGGTTAGGAAGGGTTAGGAATAAATGTTAGTGTAGGCAAACATGCAAATTCAGAATCTGCAGGTAGTACAAATTGACAATGTGCACACACACACATGCCTTTTGTCTATACTAAATATTTAACAGTATCTCAATCAGAAAGGAAATAATGCTTCTATGATTGTGTACTTCAGAGGAATGATTAGGTCAAATGTATCTAGGTACATAATAAAAGACCTCAGCTGGGTGTAGTGGCACATGCATATTATATGAGCACTCAGGAGGCTGAAACTGGAGGATTTCAAGATTGTGATCTGAATGTGTCATATATAGATAAATACATACTATATATAAATATGTCCATATGTAACATATACCATATACAGAAAATATTGGATCCCCAAGCTCTTGTCCTGTAAAACCTCATCCCCAAGTATTTCACAGGCATTTCTAACAGTAACTACAATGCTGTCTCCTAGCACTCCCTGTCAGCTTTAGTTACCTGGCTGTGCTAGGTCCATCACTCAGAATTTTGCTCTGTTCTTGCTAATATGTGTATGTTATTAGTTCTAAAATTTCCGGTGAAGCATCACTACCTAACATTAAGAAGTTAAAGACTCTGGATAGTGTATTGGTCTGAATTCACCATAAAGTACCCCATTCACTAAGAACTATTGTGTACATACACACAGAGAGACAGAGAGAGAGAGAGAGAGAGAGAGAGAGAGAGAGAGAGAGAGAGAGAGAGAGAGAGAGAGAGAGAGAGCAGGGGTGGTGCACATCTTTAATCCCAGCATTCTGGAGTCAGAGGCAGGCAGATCTCTGTGAGTTCGAGACAAGCCTGGTCTACAAGAGCTAGATACAGGACAGCCTCCAAAGTTACAGAGAAACCCTGTCTTGAACCCTCACCCCTGCAAAAAAACCAACAAAATAAAAAGATCTCTATTAAATTAAAGCATTGCCAACAGCCTTTAGCACCCTATTTGGCTCAACATCAACCCAAAGAATTCAATTTGGGACTGGCTTTATTATTTCAATCTCTAAAACACTGCCACAACCAAATTCATACCTCATCCTCAAGCACAGAGAAAGTCTGAGAGGAAAAAAGATGGACTTTGTATCTACCTTGCAACTGATTGCCTGTTATAACTCAATGGAAGAGCTTCAGTTCTATAATCTATTGAAGAATATTGTAGGTAGAGTTTCTTTAAAACTTCAGGTTTAAAACCTTCTTTTGTTTAAACTGCTGGATATAACTGGCCATATGTTTCCCATTTTTTTCTTCACTGATGAATAAGTACTAAAGTTGTATTGATTTGAAAGTGGTCACAGGAGCTCTCTGGGATCTCCTGGCCTGGCACATTAAGCCAGGTCAACTCACCCACTGAGGATCAAGCAACCAGGAGCCTGCCAAAAGAAAAAGCAGGGTAAATCCACAAACAATAGCACCACCACCAAAAAAACAATAACAAACAAGAATTAACACTCAATGGTCCTTAATATTAATAGTCCTCACTCAATATTAAGTCTTTATTTGCCTATAAAAACACATAGGCTAACAGAATGGATATGAAGACGGAATCCATCTTTCTGCTACATACAAGAAACACACCTCAACTTCAAATATTACCTCAGAGTAAAGGGTTGGTATAAGATTTTCCAATCAAATGGACCCAATAAACAAGCTGGTGTAGCTATCCTAGTATCAAAAAATTAGACATCAAACTAAAATCAGTCAAAAAAGATGAAGAAGGTCATTCCATATTCACCACAGGAAAAATCGACCAGGAAGAAGTCTCAATTCGGAACATCTATTCCCCAAATACAAAGACACCCACATTCGTAAAAGAAACATTACTAAAACTCAAATCACACATAAGACCTCACACAGTTATAGTAGGAGACTTCTACATCCCACTCTCACCACTAGACAGGACCAACAAACAGAAAGTTAACAAAGAAACAAAAGAACAGAAGTTATCACCCAATTGAGTTTAACAGACATCTATAGAACATTCCATCCAAATACAAAAGAACAAACCTTCTCAGTGCCACATGGAACCTTCTCTACACTCGAACACATAGCAAACCTCAACAGACCGAAAAAAAAATTGGAATCACCCCTATATCTTATCAGACTATCATGCGTTAAAGTTAGAACTCAACAACACAAATTGCAGAAACCCTACAAACTCATGGAAATTGTACAGTGCACAATTATACCATTCCTGGGTCAAGAAAGAAATTAAAGTCTTCCTAGAATTCAACAAAAATGGAGACATAACATACTCAAACTTGTGGGACACTTTGAAAGCAGTACTAAGAAGAAAGTTCATAGCACTAAGTGCTCATAAGAAGAACCCGGAGAATAGTGACACTAGAGAATTAACAGAACAACTGAAGACTCTAGAACAAAATGATGTAAACTCACCCCAAAGGAGTAGACCCCAGGAAATAATCAAAATGAGGGCTGAAAGTCTAAACAAAGAAAACAATACAAAGAATCAATGAAACAAAGAGTTGATTCTTAGAAAAAATCAACAAGATAGTGATGGGAGATGTCATTCTGAAATCTATCTCTTAGTGGTTGTTGAATAAAGCACTGTTGGCCAATAGGGAAGCAAAATAGGTGGGACTAGGAGTCGAGCAGGATTCTGGGAAGGAGAAACACAGAGAGTCACCATGTAGCCACCATAGGGGTAAGAAGTCCAGACCCTTTCTCTGGTAAGAGAAATACTTAGATTAACAATTATGGAGTGAATACTTAAGTCAGAGATAGCCAGTAAGAAATCAAGCAAACAGACAACAGCTTCATAATTAACACAATGTCTTGTGTGTTATTTGGGGACTGCAACTGTGGCAGAGCCCAAGCGTCTAGCAGGGGGAAAATCAAAGCAGCTGACAGAGGAAAAGGCTTCACTCTACATAATGGTGTCACCATGTGGGATTGAATTTCCACCTAGAATGACAAAAGCTTAAAAGGCATTTTAGAAACAAAAGAACGGAGAGAAGCACAGTTTTTTGGTAGCAGCATTTTCTCAGGTGGGCTCTATTTTGCTATCCACAAGCAGAGACTCACGCGGCTCGCTTAAGGGAGTCTTCCTGACTCAGCATAAACAAAAAAGAAAGAAAGAGGTCAAATTTTCACTATTTGCAGATGATATGATAGTTTACATAAATGACCCAAAGAACAATACCAGGCAACTCTTACAGCTGATTAACACCTTCAGCAAAGTGGCAGGCTACAAGATCAACTCAAGAAAATCAGTAGCCCTACTATATACAGATGATAAAAGGGCTGAGAAAGAAAACGCTCAGGATGGTTTTTTCTAGTGCCATCCATTTGCCTGCAAATTTCAGGATTCCATTGTTTTTTTCTGCTGAATAGTACTCCATTGTGTAAATGTGCCACATTTTCTCTATCCACTCTTTGGTTGAGGAGCATCTAGGTTGCTTCCAAATTCTGCCTATTACAAATAATTCTGCTATGAACATAGTGGAACAAACATCCTTGTTGTATGAATGGGCATCGTTTGGATATATGCCTAAGAGTGGAGTTGCTGGATCTTGTGGTAGGTTTATTCCCACTTTTCTTACGAATCTCCATACTGATTTCCACAGTGGCTGAACAAGTTGGCACTCCCACCAGCAATGGAGGAGGGTTCCCCTTTTACCACATCCTCTCCAGCATAAATTGTCGTTGGTGTTTTTCATTTTAGCCATTCAGACAGGAGTGAGATGGTATCTCAGAATTGTTTTCATTTGCATTTCCCGGATGGCTAAGGACGTTGAGCGCTTTCTCAAGTGCCTCCCGTCCATTTTAGACTTCTATATTGAGAATTCCCTATTTAGTTCTGTAGCTCACTTTTTAATTGGATACTTTGGTGTTTTGGAGACTTGCTTCTTGAGCTCTTTGTAAATTTTGGAGATCAGCCTTCTGTCAGATGTGGGGTTAGTGAATATCTTTTCCCATTCTGTGGACTGCCTTTTTGTCTTGCTGACTGTGCCCTTTGCCTTACAGAAGCTTCTCAGTTTCAGGAGGTACCATTTAATAATTGTTGACCTACTAGTGTTATGTTCAGGAAGCTGTCTCCTGTACCAATTCATTCAAGGGTACCACCCACTTTCTCTTCTAAGAGGTTCAGTGTAGCTGGATTTATGTTGAGGTCTTTGATCCATTTGTACTTAAGTTTTGTGCATGGCATAGACATGGATCAATCCGCATTCTTCTACATGCCAGCATCCATTTACGCCAGCACCATTTGTTGAAAATGATTTCTATTTTCCATTGTATAGTTTAAGCTTCTTTGTCGAAGATCAGATGTTCATACATGTATGGGTTAATACCAGGGTGTTCAATTCGATTCCAAGTGTCTCTTTGTCTATTTTTGTGCCAATACCAAACTGTTTTCAGGAATACAGCTCTATAATACAGCTTGAGGTCAGGGATGGTGATGCCTCCAGATGTTGCTTGGTTTGGTAAGGTTGTTTTGCCTATCCTGGGTCTTTTGTTTTTTCATACAAAATTGATTTTTGTTCTTTCAAGGTCTGTGAAGAATTGTGCTGGGATTTTAATGGGGATTGCATTGAATCTGTAGATTGCTTTTGGCAGGATTGCCATTTTTACTACATTGATCCTACCTATCCAAGAGCTTGGGAGATCTTTCCATTTTCTGAGGGTTTCTTTAATTTTTTTCTTTAAAGACTCAAATTTCTTGTGATACAGGACTTTCACTTGTTTGGTTAGCATTATATTGTTTGTGGCAATTGTAAAGGGTGATGTTTCTCTGATTTCTTTCTCAGCCCTTTTATCATCTGTATATAGTAGGGCTACTAATTTTCTTGAGTTGATCTTGTAGCTTGCCACTTTGCTGGAGGTGTTAATCACCTGTAAGAGTTCCCTGGTAGAGTTCTTTGGGTCATTTATGTAAACTATTATATCACCTGCAAAGAGTGAAGGTTTGACTTCTTCATTTCCAATTTGTATCCCCT